TCCCTTATGTCCGTATAGATATGGAGCAAAATCAAAAGCAATTTTAAGAACACCATATAAAAAATCTAAACGACTCTCTGCTCAGGTTTATGGCGCTGGGCGCTATGGGGGGGGGGGGGGGGCGGACTGGGGTGGCTTCCATCACAGTAATGCATATTTCACCAGCCACCCAGTTAAATATGACCATCCCCCTATTGATCACAAGGGCTTTTGACTGGCTGGCTCTTATGACAGGGGTAAATCATGACCCCATTCCATTCCATTAGCAAAAGTACCTTTAAACAACGTCCCGGGCCGCGGAATCTAAATTGGCTCCGATTGGCCGCTGTGAAGCGCCGCTGACATGTGCACCGTAAAGACATACTTCATCCACGCAGCTCATTAAAAGCGGAATGCACGCTAAGGGACGTGTTATGTGTGATTTAGCGGTGAGAGAGAAGCCTTTTAGCGTTACCTTATGCTGAGGGTAAGTGGTGACACCATCAGCGCCCGATGCAAATTTAGAAGCGACCAGCTGCTGCTGCTCCACCCAGCGGCCCATATCAGGGTTGGGCAGCTTGGGCCCCCTCTTCCTGAGGGTCTGAGGGGTCCTCTGAGGCGTCCTCGGGCTTCTGGGGCTGTGCGGGGTGTGGGTGCGACTGAGCGGTTGAGGCGCGGGGGGGGCAGCTTCCCATGGCGCCCGGTCCCCATGCTTTGTCCTGCCGTGGCCCAGCAGTGCGGCAGAGCTACAGCTGGGTTCAAAGGGGGGCTCGGCGAGTGTCTGACCCCGGCTCAGGGCCAAGTGGACGGCCTCCTGCTTGAGCTGGTGAAGGTTCACGCCGCACGCGCCACACTCGCCCTGCTCCCTCTCCCTGTCCCTGTCCCTGGCCTCGTGGGTGGACCGACTATGGACGCGGAGGTTGTCCAGAAGGAACACAGACAGGTCACTTGAGTCCTGCAAATAAAGTCAATTTAAAAATGAAAAGTTGCAGAAATATTTCAACATTTAAAAGTTTGCAGGTTTGAAGTAATCACTAGTTTCTTGAAGAAGCATGTGATTATGTTTTCACAAATAAGAGAGTAAGTTCTGAGATCCAGGAAGAGCTTTTGGAGAAGACCTAATAAAATGAATTTGCTTGGTTTTATGTCTGGCTTGAGAGTATTACATGGCTGATGTGTGAAAATGGAAGTAGAGACTTGGGAGGCCACTCCAAGTAATGTTAGCACTTAGCCAAGTAATCAAGGAGTTAGTATTGATTAAAATGCCTGTAATCATTAAAGGTGCAGTTAGCAAAAACTTACTGCACCTTTAGAGTGAACACAAGAGTGATGAATCTCTGACGTGAAACACCGATTCAGGGAGAACAACATGTCAGAATCTTGACATTTTTCCAGCTGATCCTGACCAAGAACAGTGGTTTTAGCAGATAGACGCTAAAATGAATAAGAGTAGTTGTGTTTTTTAAACGTTAAAGCATGAAAAGGCCTGAAAGCGAGCATTGAATGTCCTCTTTAGAGGAGCCTGTATTGACTCAGGCTGCGAAAGCAACGACGCTCTGCAGCCAGACTTGTTTGGTTTGCCCTTGACACCCAAATCTAACACTCACTCCCTCTTCATCCATCAGCGAATTGCTAGTGATTATCCCACAAGAGGAGGACTGTAAGGGCTCTACATTATACAGTCAAACAAAAGGACTAAAAGTACAAAAGCATCAGAGATTTGATGTTTGCTTTCATTAATCTCAATAGAGTTCATTTCATCACATAAACCACAACAACCATCTTTGTTCTACATACAATTGAACCAATGTCTCCTTCAGGTTTGTGCCTCTTGCATTACTCATATATACATTATGACAGATATATGTATAAATGGATAGAGGGGCTGTTGTAGCCAGACGGGGCGACCGTACTCTCCATCTCAACCAAACTACAAGCCCATCAAAAAAGACGACATTACAAACGCTTTTGAAAAATCATGCCCGGGTCAATAATCCTGCATGGAGCTCGCTGGCTTATCAGATTTCTTTGTTCTGACCGTGCGTCTGAGGCCACGAGATACCATCGCTCGCTCTGCCCTGTGGCCTCCCTCCAAAAACACTGCCCCATCCCAGCCAGGAGGACGAAAATAAAGAGTCCTCCCTCGGTGAGCCGTCTGTGGAGAGGACGCGGGGAGGCTGACATTAAATATTCATGCCCATTTGGAAGCACTCACGCAGCACTGGTTTACTTTGTCGATTGGGGTGTGTTTGATGGATGTTGGTGGTGACAGATGTACAGAAATGTGCGTTCCTGTCAGGGGCGGCGGGTTGAGACCGACGGGCCACATTCTGGACGTTCAAACACCTTTAATTGACTTCACATTCTCTGTCGTGCAGAATATGTTTAAGCGTGTCTACGTTTGTTTCCTTGTATTTGATTTATAGTATTCATTCAATTTGTATTCGTAAATCTTTTGGGCCGCAAAACAAAAGAGGTTTGCTTTTCCCAGAGCCCAAACTGACAATTCCATGTTGACCAACACACGCGCCGATAGTGTCAATCAGCAGGACCAGTTACATTGACTATACATGTCCAGTCGATCGCTGGAGCACTGGACCTGGGATGGGTTCGCTTGGGCGGAATGTGGAGTTGGATGTGGCCGGACTGACCTTGCAGGAGGCGCGGTGGTGGACCGCCAGGCTCATGGCTTGTTTATTCAGGGACACCAGGCTCGCGCAGCACTTCTCGCAACGCGCAACTTTCCAGCCGGACCCCCGCGGGTCGGGGTGGGCGCACACGGCGCCCCTGCACGAGGAGGACATGGCGCACCTGACGCGGTCCCCGTCGGTCCCCGGCGGGGACTTGTACGGCGGGACGGCGTCCGCGTTCCGGCGGCGGTCGCCGCCCTCCGGCGGGGGTCGCTCCTCGGGCCGTCGGTCCCTCCCGGGGGCGCAAGAGCCGAGCGACTCGCAGTGATGCTGCACTTGTGCGCTCTGCAAAGCAGCAGAAGAAGCATGCAGGGGGGCTCCGGTTACCGCGCCCAGACGCTCGATGCCTCTGCAGGAGTTACTCTCCTACTGAAACTAGACGGGGACCGCGCGGGGCTCGTCATGAGGAAATCGGACTTACCCAGCGTGTCCCTCGCACCGGGGAGGGACATCTCCCTCCTCTCCGAGTCAGGGATGACATGACAACTTGTTAATATTTAAAAAGAGATCCGAACAAAGGGCAGGACGCGCTTTTCATTTAATTTAATTTTTGTTTTTAAAAAGAGCCCCGTGGATGAGGAGCAGACATGTTGTCCTCTGGAACAAAGAGGCTGGAGCTGCTGTCCTCAGAGCAGGAGGTGATCACTGAGGAGAAGGAGGACGCGCGCTGAGGACTCGCTGTGTGATGATCGCCTCCTCTGGGAGGCAGTGACGAGCACGAAACAGCCAAAAGAAACTTTTAGGAATGAATTTACTCAACTTCAACAGGTATCTTTCCAACACAGCAGGTCCTCCACGTGGTTTAGTGAGAGTTTACTTTAAAGGTGCTATACGAAAAAAGTCATGACCATAATATACTACTATTTATAATATGTTATAAGTGATATAAGCAAGAGGAGAGACTGCTGCTGCACAAGGTCATCTGTATAATGAACTATGCAGAACAATGCAAGACATGGATTTTATTATTGAATTTAGTATTTTGCCTTGATGCTATTGGACCACTGGCATAGGAGAGGTTGATAACAGGACAAAGTGATGCAGGAGATGACGACATATCCAAACTTTAAGGTCAAACAGTGGAGCCTCTTCATCTGATGATCACCTCCGTCCCTTTAGATGAACAAAGGCAACAAATGAGCATCATGGGGTTTATGCGGAGTAACAGTTGTCTTTGTTATTTTTACAGTCGATTTTTACATCGACTGAAAAAAGAAAAAAATGTTATTCAACGTTGAAATAGCTGTATTATAAAGTTGACTGATGACTTTCACTCCATGGGAGATTTTTCTTTTAGAGACTTTCAATTTAGAGAACATTTCCAACTACATATGCACATTATAGACAACTCAAACAATCATCTTTCTTCCTCAAATGTATTATTATTATTATTATTGTGTTGTGCGGTCCCTTTACTTTCCTGATATGGCGCAGACCTGCATGCATTGGGCCAACAAACGCACGCTGAATGTTACATTGTGTGTTGCAGCACTTTGCTCCACAGCGACGCGTTCAGGGGCGCTCGTCTGCCCCGCCAGCGACAGATGGTCGCCTGTATAATCAAGCCGCGCTGCCTTCTGGGTAATTACGCAGCACGTCATTTTCCTCCCCCACACCCCGGGATAAGCAGCTCCTCGCCGGTGAAAGATTGGTCGGACAGCGCGGGTGCCATTTGGCGCAGTACACCGAACTATATCCATCGACGAAAGACGCGCAGCTGTTATAATACTCGGTCTTCGAGAGATTTGACTAAAACACGCGTTGCGGTCAAACATCCACGATGAGCTCGATCAACGTGAAGAAGCTGAAAGTGAACGAGCTGAAGGACGAGCTGAAGAAGCGCGAGCTCTCGGATAAGGGGCTGAAGGCCGAGCTGATGGACCGCCTGCAGGCCGCGCTGGACGAGGAGGCCCTCGCAGGAAACCCCCCGGACCAGGAGGCTGCAGCGGCCGAGGGTTCCGGCCAGGAGGGCATGGGCGAGGAAGAGGAGGGCGAGGGCCCCGTAGAAGAAAGCATGGAGGCTAACGAGGAGGAGGAGGAGGAGGTGGCGGCAGCAGCGGTGGCGGCGGCGGAGGAGGAAGAAGAGAAGAGGAGCAGCTGGGAAATGAGGGCGACGGCGATGCTGTTGCCGTAGACGAAGAGATGGGTGAGGGGGGAGAGGATGGAGACGACGACGACGAGATGGACCTCATGCTCAAGGGAGATGTCGACGACATGGAGAAAATCGACACGGAGGACGGTGAGCCCGCGGACCAGGCGGCTGAGGGTGAGTCGGCCGGATCTCTGGATGTGTCTGGCTGGATGGACTGTGGCCGGGCGTCGGGTTTTGTTATGGCGTTAATGCTGCCGTCGGGGGGGGGGCGCTGGGAATCACCAACGTTACACACAACGCGGCGTCCATGTTGAGCTACGATCGCTAAACTAGCAAGCGTCAGCCGCGGGAGGGAGCCGTTAGCCGGCCATGCTAACTTGACGTTAGCATCGGCCTCCACCATGGCTAACGCTAATCATCTTAAAGGAGCGTCGATATTCTAGTTCACAATTGTTGACGTTATAATGTTGTAGTGGTCGAACATATTCCCTGAAACCAGAGCATGTTAGTTGAGTGAAGTTAAACACCGAGGTAACTTGGCTTAGTCTGCCTTTTTGCCATGGCGCTGTTAGCGTGTTAGCTTGTTAGCTACCGCCATTCTCTTTGTGTCCGTTGTGCTAACTAGCGGTTCGCCCCGTTAGCTGACGTTAGTTCAGTGTCCCACGTCGAGGTGTTGCTTACAGCGGGGTGGTAGTGAGGCGCAGGGGACTCTAGATTACTCCACGTTAACGTTAAATCAAGGCCCGCACGCAGCTTAAAGGCGCGCCGTTAAAGCAGATGCATGTCGGCTGTAGCAGCGCGCCTGCATCCGCTTCCATCTTGTTAATGGTACTTCAAGCTCAGCCGGACTAATCGGGCACCTGGATCCGCCGACCTGCTGTGCAGAGGCGCTTGTTTACCTCGTGGTCGGTCCGGTCCGACTAGAGACGATCGTGGCCTGCAGAACGAGTAGAGAGGACGTCCGTCTACCGCGCACGTTCACCCGGGGGGTTGAGGCTGGGGTGTGGGGGGCATCGGTCAGGTTTACATAGCTGTTCCCACTTCGTTGCATGGGGCATTTGTCAGATACAGTAGACTTGTCCTCTTGAATCCAATGGGCTGACTTCTGAACACAATACACACAAGCCCTTTACGCCAGGCTTAATGTCCCATTTACTTTTCAGAGACTTGTTGTTCCAGCTCCAGCAAACACTGTTCACAATGTTCTTTTGGACCAGCCTTTATTGTAATTAGTATCTGGTCTTTAGAGCTGTTACAAGTTATGTAGTATGATTGTGTATATATTTATATTAAATATTCCAGTGTAATCGTGAGGTGTTTCCTCTTTGGTTACCTTACTATTGATGCTTATGCTCGACACAATGTAACTAATGAACGGGCTTTGTGGGCCAGAACCCCACTGCCAGTCCGACCTCTCTCACAAAAAGGAGCACCTCATTCTATATCTTTGTTCTATTTTCAAAGGGGATGCGGACAAAGACACGAATGCTGATCAGAAGAATAAGAAGGGTGTTAAGAGACGCCGGGAGGAACATGGAAGGGGCTACTTTGAATTTATTGAAGAGAACAAATACAGCTGGTAAGGATGGGACAGAGCAAAAATGGCCTTCAGCATCCCTGAAGCGCCATCCATAGCTTTGTTGGACTGTATTGGCTTTAAGTGCCAATGCACACATTACTAGCATGAGGAAAACCCTCATTTTCAAGTATTACACTTTATTACCTCACTTTCACACATGCTTTGAGGGTCACCCCTGACTACTTTAAAGAGCCCTACCATTTACCCTTTACAGTGCCCGCTCACATTTGTGACTGCATTCTGTAGCAGAAGTGCAACTATCAAGTCTCTATGGATTCTCATATCTGTTCCTCATGCCACTTATTGTTTTTGGAAAGCCAGTTGTGTCCTGAAGGAGAAGCCAGGCTGCTCAAGAGAACCCAGAGGGAAGTGGCAGATGTGCACTTTTTAACTACTCAGTGGAGGGAGGGAGGGACGGGGGGCAGCTGGGACGTGGGAGGAGGGTTCTAGTGCTGCAGGGTAGCATACAAGGAACTAGCAAAATGCCCAAAGTGTTTGGAACGCCTACGGGGGAGGTCGTTAAATACCGTCCATCGTTTTACCTCGCAGTGATCTACTTTTTTCTTTTTTTTCCTAAATCGTTTTTTATATCACTGGTTGTATGACGTCAAAATGCTCTTTGTCTCATATATCATGTGTGTGTGTTTGTTATCATGGCGTGAGAGCGTGTAAGACTTTCACCTCGTGCAGGTGACTTCATGCATGGAGCGCGTGGCCGTGTGTCTGTGTGCATACGTGTACTTACCTCTTGGTCAGTGTTTTTGTTTCCATTGCGTTGTTGACACACTTTGAAGAATCCAATGTCAAAAAACAATTTTATTTTGGGGGGGGGGGGGGGGTCTGGGACACTTGGGACAAAATGTTCCTCCACCAGAATTATTGGAATACAGTATTACGCCTCATTCGGTCTTTCCCATCTGAGTTTCCCAGCCAAGTATATTTATTGCAACTGCTTACACTCTTCTTTTCCCCAATAGATTTTTAATCGTATACTTAAACGTAGCATTTCCTCCAGATCCGCCACAACCCCCCCCCCTCGCCCGAATCTGATTAATCCCGTCTGACTTTCACTGGGTCATTACATCACGGGGGGCAATGCAGACACCTCGTTGACATGTAAAACCTTTTGGACTCGATTAGAGCAAACGACTCCTCCATCGTCGATTTGTGCACCGAGTATCAGGTTACAGAGTTGGTAAGTTGCTGTAGCTCTCATGGCTCATTTCACACGTACTCAAGAACCGCAAGTGGGTCGTCACTTTTTGGCTCGTAGGTAGTCGAGTATAAACGGCACCTGCCCGTTATTGTAACTGGCCGCCCTGGAGATCATAAATGCCCTCGTCTGAAAGGGTGGACAGCAGAGGCGCTCTCTGTCTGTATCCCTCACGTTTTAGATATCGCTGGATGATGGAGGTAAGTGCTGTCTGCCAAGGCCGATAATAAAGTTATCACTTGCCCAACTTACTGCTCCTATTTTGTAACGCTTCCCATAGTCTGTCTTTCCACCTTTTTCCCAAGAATATTTCTCAGCCTGTGGTACCAAAGGCATCTTTTGTGTTCCATGCAGCTGCATTGAGATGCGAACCCTCCCGTTGACTAGTTGATGTTTTTTCAGGGCCTCATTTAAGTCTCCTGTGCCCCCGCTGGAGGAAGAAGACGAGGAGTTTGATGACACGAAGGTCTGCCTGGATACATGTGAGTGACCAATGCAAACGTCTCAAAGCACATTTTTAGCCAACTTGATTCAGAGAACCAATATTCATACCTGCAAACGTGAACCGAAAAGGTCATGCGCGTCATTGCAATTCTGCAAACTAGTCCATGACGTCATTTAGCGGTGCGGCGTTGTCACCTTGTTCGCCTCTTGTTTGCAGGTATGAATGTAAGTGCAGAGATGACGTCATTAGAACATTTCCACAATCTCACACCCGTTTACCTGGATGCAGATATTGATGAGTGCTTTTTTTTTTTATGCTCTAGACAACTGCGACCTGCATTTTAAGGTGTCCCGGGACCGTTACAGCGCCTCATCCCTCACCATGGAGAGCTTTGCTTACCTCTGGTCCGGAGGCAAGGGCACCTACGGTGTGAACAAAGGCAAAGCGTGCTTTGAGATGAAGGTACAGGATCAGTAACGTACTTGCTGTGAGCACGTGGAACTTTGTTCTTTGCCTTTGTGACAGTGAATTACTGCAAATGAATCCTGGTACTTGTTTGTCTTCATGCCAACAGATTGCAGAGAAGATTCCAGTGAAGCACATTTCTAGCAAGAACATGGAGATTCACGACGTGCAGGTCGGCTGGTCCTTGTCCACTGGCACCCTCCTCCTCGGTCAGTGTCTGGGTGTCTTTCTCCCACGCGTTTGTCACGTGTGGTGTACAGTAAATACAGTAATAACACCATTGGATATGAATACTCCTTGCACACAATATGGTGACCAAGCCGGTGCAGGAGACGATTAATCCAATGCTGCTCCTGCTCACATCATCATTGTGATCCATTGAGTCCTGGTTACGGGGACGAGCTCATTCAGAAAGGTCATTTTGCTTTTTCCCATTGCTGTTTAGGTGAGGAGGAACATTCTTATGCATACTCTGGCAAGGCCAAGAAGACCACCAACTGCGTGACCGAGGACTTTGGAGAAACCTACGAGGAGAACGATGTCATCTGCTGCCTCATCGTAAGACTCTTAACTCTAACTTTGTGTAAACGTGTTCACATTTCAACTGGTTTTCCTCACAATGGATCCTATGGCCCTCTATGCTCAGGACTTTGAGGGGGACGAGGTGGTGTTGTCATTCTCCAAGAACGGCGAGGAGCCGGCCGTGGCTTTCCGGGTCCAGAAGGACTCTCTGAGCGGCCAGGCCCTCTTTCCACACGTCATCTGCCACAACTGTGCTGTGGAGTTCAACTTTGGCCAGATGGAGACGCCGTACTTCCCTCAGCCCCCCGGTTACACCTTCCTGCAGCAGATCCCCGTGGACGAGCGCGTGAGGGGGCTCAAGGGGCCCCAGACCAAGGCGGACTGCGAGGTACGCCGAGTAATGTGTAGATGTTCCGTAGCTATTGATCAGCCAATTGATAGTTTTTGTCTAACTTGGCCTTTATCTTCATGTAGATCATTGTGATGGTCGGCCTGCCGGGCTCAGGGAAGACCACGTGGGTGAAGAACCACGTCCAGGAGAACCCGGGGAAGTACTACATCCTGGGCAGTGACACCATTGTGGACAAGATGATGGTCAGTGTGGAGGCAGCTTCTGTTTTCTGCAGTTCCTACTGTTTCTGACAAACTACGATTTTAATGTCGAAATTCTATCTTCTGTGGTTTAAAACAGATCAACAGCCTGAAACGCCAGTCAAAAGACATCACGAAGCTGAGCGCCATTTCCCAGAGAGCTCCTCTCTTCCTGGGGAAGTTCATTGAGATCGCCGCCCGCAAGAAGAGAAACTACATCCTGGATCACGTAAGTGGCTTTTGGGGATTTATCCATTTCTTTATCGTGGCTCATACGGATTAATTTAAACTCCCAACGTCCTCCCGTCGCAGACCAACCTGTCGGCCCCCGGCCAGAAGAGGAAGATGTGCCTGTTTGCAGGCTTCCAGCGCAAGGCGGTGGTGGTCTGCCCCTCCGACGACGACTACAAGCAGAGGGTCCAGAAGAAGGTGGAAAGCGATGGCAAGGAAGTCCCCGAGCACGCCGTCTTCAAAATGAAAGGTAGGAAGACGTTGCTCTACCGCTCTCCAAAGGCTTGCTGGTGGATTTGCGCGTGTCCCTTTCTGACCCCCCCTTGATGTTCCTCCATGACAGGCTTCTTCTCTCTGCCTGAGGAGGGCGAGAGCTTCAGCGGCGTCGTCTACGCCGAGCTGCAGAAGGAGGAGGCCGGCAAGCTGTTGGAACAGTACAAAGAGGAGAGCAAGACGGCGCTGCCGGCCGAGAAGAAGCCCAACCAGGGGAGCACGGCGCCAAAAAGAGGCGGCGGCCTGCGTGGCGGCGGCCGGGGGGGCAAGAACCAGTTTGGCCGTGGCAGTGGACCCGGACCCAGAGGCAGCGTTCGCGGAGGCTTCCAGAACCGAGGCAACTTCAGAGGAGGTAGTGTTCTGTCCAATCAACCGCGTCTTATTCCCCTCGTGCCGTATTGTTCTAAAGACGGGTTGATTCCGTTGCAGCTCCCGGCCCCCGAGGCGGCTTCAACCGTCCACCTCGAGGCTTCCTGCCCCCCCCGGCCTTCAGGGGGGGCTTCCATAGCCGTGGGAACTTCAATCGGGGCGGTGGCCCAATTCCCAGCCTTGGGGGATCACCCAGGGGTGGACCAATGAGAGGCAACATGGGACCCAGGGGGGGTCACATGAACCGAGGGGGTCCAATGAGCAGAGGAAACATGAGCAGAGGGGGCGGAGTCAACATGCATCGTGGTGGATCCAGGGGACACCACAACCAGGTGGGTTCTGGGGTGATGATCTGGCTTTCCTTGTGGGGGGGTTGTGGTCACCAACGTGGTCACCATTGTCCTGCCTTTCTCCCTCTCCAGTTCCAGCAGAGAGGTGGTAACCGCGGTGGCAACTTTGGCAACTTTGGAAACAAGAATGGCAACTTTGGGAACAACAGGAACAGCGGTAACTTTGGCAACAGGAACGGCATGGACAAGGCCCAGGCCTTCAACCAGAGCTGGCAGCAGGGGGTCAGTTCATCAAAATCCTAATAAGCTTTTAAATCATCACGGAACTTCTGCCCCTTTCAGTATAAACCTTTTTCCACGACGCGTACATGTCCTCATGTTGTCTCTCGTGTGTCCCGTGCAGTTCTGGAACCAGAAGCCGTGGAGCCAGCAGTATCAGCCTGGATATTACTAAGACACTTGTGACGGACTGGTGGCCGACCCACCGCTAGCCACGGAACATCCCTCCACGCCGCTTTTTTCAATTTTACTTTCTCTAGGACCCACTTTTAATAGTCTCAAGGCCACCAACGGACAATGGCGACTAACGCGATATGGAGCAGCAGCAACATTCCACATCAGGGAGGAGACGGCCGGGCGCCACGAGGCGCCGCGCGTCTGTCCACACGGGCGCAGCGTGGGTTCAGTCTCATTCTATCATCTGCTTTTATTTCTTTCGATGTATATTTTTTTGACACTTTTAAATGATGTGCTTTTAAAATGAAAAAAAATATATGTCATGTTTGTTTATTAGGAACCGGAGCCCCTTTGCCCGCCCGGGGCAGATGCTAACAGGTTATTTTATTTCCCTTTTTTTTTTGTCCAGGGCTGTGCTTTTTACCTGTGCTGTGATTTATTTCATATTTTTGTGAGTTGCTTTTTTTATTACAAATTGTAAATATTTTTTCCCTTTTGGCTTCGTCTGTATGAAAAGCAAAGCAACGGTTTGATTGGAAGGAACCGTGGCTTGTTAGCCGGAGCATGGTAGCTGATGATACTGTTCGTATACTGTACATGTCAAGAGTCTGCCGTTGAACCCAAGCAACAGATGAACTGTCTTTTGTTGCCAGTATCGAACCTGTAACCTAAACTCCGTAGACAATAAACTCATTGGCTTTTTACTTCTTGGCTTATGACTCTTGATTCGGTTCAAAGGTGTGTAAAAGACCTTTGAAAGGGCAAAGTCCTAGTTCACTACTTCAAACGGTGAGGACTCCGCCCTCCTTTAACTAACTCCTCCCACGTATTCCTGCTAAATGTCCTTAAGTATTCACAAAGTATTCGGACCGGACCACTTAAAGAACCTACGCTATAGTTCCCGTTTTACAATGAGAACCGTCACGCTTGGTTCTCTGCAGCTTCTTCAGCACAATGATGAAGGCAGGCAGGGCTCCTCTTCGCCAGCGAACGAGGGCTACGCAGCACCGCCCCCAGGGGCCGTCGTGGGGGGCCGTGGCCCCTGCAGTGATGGCAGAGGAAACCCTGCTTGTGTTGAACAGACAGAACCGTCGCAGCGGCGGGTTCTACTTCCTGTGTTTATCGACATGTAAATACGTCTCCACTATTTCAGCTCGTGCACGGATTCATTGGCTCGGAGTAATAACTGTATTGTGATTGAAAACGTGTTAGTTGGCTCCAGTTACGCTGTGATGAATTTTCAACTATATTTAAATGTGACTTCTTGCACTCGTGTTTTTCTCGTACTGGATGCGTGATGCGAGCCGTACTTCATAACCTTTAACACAATAGACTATATTTTTATCGCTTTATGTTGCAGGTTGTGAATCAGGTCTTTTATTATTGAACCAACAATGCAAAAAGCTTTGGGACTTGTAGAGATTTGTTGTCTTTTCTATCTTACGGTTTTTGATATTTGTGTTTTAAAAACTTGGACTGTCTTTTTATTTGTCTCAACTCTATTAAAGGTAAATAAACTGTTACGTGATGACTTTGTGGTTTGTTAGTGAGTTTTCTGCTTTGGGAATATCCAAATTTTATTTTATCACATTTCCAAGATCAGAAAATATTATTTGTCCTCCGTCTGGAACGCTGTTTAATTCTAGAAAGAAACACGGACTTCTTCTCTTTACTCTTCCTAGAGGACAAATCGCAGGTGTTTAAACAGAGTTTATGAACATTGTGAGTTTATGATCCGTGTGGTAAGAAATGCTGTCAGAATCTATTGTTACTCGTCACTGGAAGGATTTCATGGTAATAACTCGCAGGCTAAAGGTGTATTTAAAGGCCGTGATTAACAATGGACTCTGGATGAAATCAGCGAGCGTCTCCTCGCTGTTCAGTTTGACCCCTGAATCAAGACCCGGGGTTCATACGCAGTTTAAGGTTTCAATTTTGGAAATGATCACATCCGTCTTGGACCGATGGACAAACGTCCACCGTACACCGAGAAGTATTTCAGTATTTCCATTACTTGTATTTCAAATACCTATTTTAATTGAGTATTTTGGCCTTTGTAACAAAATACTTTAGAGTGGGGTAATTTTGTATTTAAAATACTAAAAATACTTTCTTCACAAATGAAAAAATAGTTTACGACCAGAAATAAATGAAAAGTGTTAAAGGCAAATAAACTGAGTGGCTGAGTCTCTGGAATCAAATGGACGGATTATGGCGGTAAAGATGTGACCACAGGCCTCAGAGACCAATTCGTAGACTGACGCGTTAAACGCTTTATAGCTCTGCTTATTTCCTGTTCTTCCTTTTTGTGGGTTCACCAAAATATTGTGTGAATTAACGTTATGAGGCTGAATGCGCCACTTTACCAAATAGTGAGAACACAGAAAATCCAGAAAAAAGTATTTCCTAAATCTTAAATACAAAATACATGTATGGTATTTTGTATTTAGTTTCAATACATTCATCCAAGGGGTATTTTGAGTACATCGTGGTGTGTTTTTCCCCTCTTCTGGTGTCACATATTTGCCTCGTGGCTGTTTCTGGCTGACGTGGACTCACCAGGCTCTGGAACGCTGGACCGATCCTCCTGATTTTATCATTATTAAAGAAGCCGTGTTCCCTCAGATACGTGACGCAAAACTGTCATGATACTTAAGCTGACTTGATCTGAGGGTTTTGGGGTCGTCGTATTTTACGTGCAGGATTTAGCTTTGTCTCGTGGTGCGTTTGCAGAGTGCAACTGCTGGACGCTACAGTTCCTCCAGAAAGGAGAACGTAGCTAGAAGGAAGTTTGCTCCTCCGTAAAACCCTCAGACACGTTTAAGCAAACTGCGGAAGCTTGAAAGGTTGTGGCGTTAAACTAGAATAAACCAGGTGTAGTTTGGCGAGACAGCAGATAAGAAGTGATGCTCGTGATGCAACATCAGCTTGTTACTCATCGTTAATAGGAACGATTAAAACAACAGGTTTCTCTTCAGCAGAGTCACAGTTCTGTCGAGTCGTGTGTTCCTTTGGACCTCAGTAGTAACGACTTCATGATGAGATTCCAACTATTAGAGAGACAACTGATGGTCTGCTGCCTCCAACCAGGAGGAACCTTGGAGGCAGCAGTGGGCTGGAGACACACTTGTAGTGCATCTCTCCCGTTGACCTGGATGAACTGACTTCTACAGCTTCTATCTTCTAACCTTCTATCTGTCTCCTGGAGCCGATTCCCATTAAACAACTTTAGTTACTTTACTGGATATTATCAATCTGTCTTTGATTACGGGACCTCAGTCCTCCAACCGTAATCAAACCTCCAAATCTTTCTCCAAGCTTCCTTCCTCTGCAAGATCCTCAAGAGAGCATCACTTGTGTGACTTTCTACATAACAACGGTTTGTTTGTGCTTTTATCTGGTGGTGGTTGTATGTGACGTGGTTATATGTGACGTGGTTGTATGTGACGTGGTTGTATGTGACGTGGTTATATGTGACGTGGTTGTATGTGACGTGGTTATATGTGACGTGGTTGTATGTGACGTGGTTGTATGTGACGTGGTTGTATGTGACGTGGTGGTATGTGACGTGGTTATATGTGACGTGGTTGTATGTGACGTGGTTATATGTGACGTGGTTGTATGTGACGTGGTTATATGTGACGTGGTTGTATGTGACGTGGTTATATGTGACGTGGTTGTATGTGACGTGGTTGTATGTGACGTGGTTGTATGTGACGTGGTTATATGTGACGTGGTTGTATGTGACGTGGTTATATGTGACGTGGTGGTATGTGACGTGGTTATATGTGACGTGGTGGTATGTGACGTGGTTATATGTGACGTGGTTGTATGTGACGTGGTTGTATGTGACGTGGTTATATGTGACGTGGTTGTATGTGACGTGGTTGTATGTGACGTGGTTGTATGTGACGTGGTTATATGTGACGTGGTTGTATGTGACGTGGTTATATGTGACGTGGTTGTATGTGACGTGGTTGTATGTGACGTGGTTGTATGTGACGTGGTTGTATGTGACGTGGTTATATTCAATTGAATTCATTTTATTTTGTAGAGCCCAAAATCGCAAATTACAAATTTGCCTCAGAGGACTTTACAGTCTGTACACATACGACATCCTCTGCCCCGAAACCCTCCATCGGCACAGGAACAACTCCCCAAACAATGAAAAACTTCCAAGAGGGAGAAAAGGGAAGAAACCTTAGTGAGAACGTCAGAGGAGGATCTCACTCCCGGGATGGACGACTACAATGATGCCATGTGTACAGAATGAACAATGTATAATACATGAGACTATATGACAGGAATGATTCAAGTAACTGTGAGTAGTAAACCAGACGCACAACAGGACCACTGCAGGGACCACCACCATCACATAGAACCACCATCACATAGAACCACCGTCACATAGAACCACCGTCAGATAGAACCACCATCTACAGAAGCCTGCACAAAAAAAACTCCCGGAAAGAAGCTGAATTAGTGATGTGCATTAATAAAACGTGAATTATGGTAGAACGAGAGCGTGAGAGAGGAGCTCGGTGTGTCCTAAGAATTCCCCCAGCAGTCTAAGCCTATAGCAGCTTAACTAAGGGCTGGTCCGGACTAACCTGAGCCAGCCCTAACTATAGGCACAATCAAAGAGGAAAGTTTTACTTTAAAAGAGCTGACCGAATCTGCCCCCCGGACTGAAAGTGGAACCTGGTTCCACAAAAGAGGAGCTTGATAACTGAAGGCTCTGGCCCCCAGCCTACTTTTTAAAACCATAGGAACAACAAGTAACCAGCATCTATGGAGCGCAGTTGCCTTGTAGGGCAATACGGTGTTACAAGCTCTTTAAGATACAACGGTGCCTCACCAGCAAGTGCCTTGTAGGTGAGGAGAAGTACCTTAAAATATATTCTTGATTTAACAGGGAGCCAGTGCAGAGAAGTAAATACAGGAGTGATATGATCCCTTTTCTTAGTTCTTGTTAATACACGTGCTGCAGCATTCTGAATCAACTGGAGAGGCTTAAGAGATTTACAGGAGCAGTCTGATAAAGAATCACAGTAGTCCAGTCTGGAAGTGACAAACGCATGAACTCATTTTTCTGCATCACTTTGAGACAGGAAGTTCCTGATTTTTGATATGTTACGTAGATGAAAATAGGCAGTCCCTGAAGTCTTCTTTATATGCGAGTTGAAGGTCATATCCTGGTCGAAGAGAACTCCCAGATTCCTGACGGTGCTGCTGGCTACCAGAGACATTCCATCCATAAAAACTGTACCACATGACAGCTGGCTTCGAAGGCGCTCTGGGCCTATCAGGATAACATCCGTTTTTTATATGTGACGTGGTTATATGTGACGTGTTTTAAAGAGTAGTACTACGTGTGATAGATGAACACGTTTAAAGAGTAGTACTACGTGTGATAGACGGACACGTTTAAAGAGTAACAGTAGAATCCACTTCCCTCCCAGACGGACAGCTGCTTGCCTTTGGCCTTTGGCCTTTGGCCTCTGGCAGCACGTTTACCTCCACCAGCAGCATATTAGTGAAGGACACGACCCCCCACGCAGACAGCAAACAGCGCATTAGCCACTGGGCCTGATTAGCAATGTTTGGCCCGGTCTAAGTCGGATGTAAACACTCGGGCTCAATGCGACGTGGCTTTGCGTTCCTCCGTATGTGGCCGTGTAGCTCCTTCCCACCGCAAACAAAGCATTATGGGTCGGCTTGTCAACAGCGGCGGCGCGGCGAATGCTACAAGTCATTAGGCAAACGATCGGCTGTGCTGTAAAAGTTCCTACACGTGTAAATGAAGGAGGCCTGCATGAGAATGTGGTCATGAATGAGAATGGAGGCCCGGACAGCAGGGAGGCACAAGGACCACAGAGTGAAACTAAATATTTTATTTCTCAAACATAAACTCATCCATATTATGTACACCTTGAAAAAAATATAACGTATGAGGCAGAATCAGAAGGACGACTCATACACATTTGAATTTCAAAAAAAAAGATATAAAACATGTACAAAATATATAAAAGTGCTTGTGGGAGGAGCGGGAGTTTGATGCCATGTCGCGTGTGAGGAACCTCCAATAAATGTCCATTTAAATAGAAAGTACTAGACGCATTGCTGAGGAACACACATGTTCCTTTTCCACCTGCAGTCTGCGGCCACAGGAGTCCCTCACACTATGGACACGTTGTCCATGGTGCACGCGCACCTCTCCACGATCATGTTGGGGAACTCGGCCACTTCTATCTCGGTGTAGTCGCCCTTCTTCACCAGGTACATGATGGGTAACGGGGCGCTCTCCGACGGCGTGCACCGCCTCTCCCCGAAGCCGTAGTTGCGCTTGGGCTGCTTGCAGCCCCCGGTGCAGCGGAAGGCCTGGTACCCGGCCGGCTCGATGATCCAGTACTGGGTCCAGGTGAGCGCGCGGAAGTCGATGAAGTACTGCTCCCTGCAGCACGCGTCCTTGCTCTGGTGGACGTCGCAGTCGCCGCGAGAACTGAGGAAGGAAGGAAGGAAGGAAGGAGAGAAGTCAGACGCTGTTTCCCTCCACGCAATCAGACGTTCTAGTGACTCCATTTAATAGCAATAACTTCGTCATATGTGGTCATTTGCCATGTGGGGAGACGCTTAAATTAACTCCAGGGTGCTTTCCGGACTCTTTAACGAGGCGCTTCACTTGACGCCCCCGCGCGCAACACGGCTGCAAATTCAATGCCCGATGCAAATGGTGACGGGTAAAATAAAAAAAGGGGGGGGGGGCAATTGCCACGCCGATACAATGTCCTGTATATCAAAAGCTCGCGCCCTTACCCGTATTCTTCGAGGTTGAGTGTGTAGAGGATGAGCTCGGGCCTCCCCAAGGTGTTGCCCGTCTGCTCCTGGGTGGTAAAGCGGACACTCCTGGCGACCTCTGCCGCGTAGCTGCCGGGTCTCTCGCCCTCGATCCACACCTCCATGTGCATAGGTGTCTTCTGCTGGCTCTTGGACCAATAGTGCAACGCCTGTGTCACATCAAAGCTCTTCCAGCCGGTCTCGTGAACGGGGATCAGCCTGTGAACGCGGGAGATAAGCGCGCGTTAACGGGAGAATTGAATTACTGTGCCGCTGGGACTGTGGAGATGTCACTCGTGTTGAGCTGTGGAGGTGGGTCCCTTACCGCGAGTCCACCAGCGATGTGCGGTTGGATCCGTTGGGCATCACCTCCACCCAGTAGATGCTGACCCGAGCGTTGTGGACGGGCCGGTGGTTCTTCCTGTCCGCCGCGAAGCGCTTGTGGTGGGAAGCCCGCTGGTAGAGTTTCAGCTCCGCCATGGTCACCTCGCTGTTGTCGGGGATCCTCGACTCCATCTCGAACACCATGCGTTGCCGAGTGGTGTCAGAATACACAAACTCCCCGGAAATATCTACGAGACGGAGCAATGAAACCGTTTGAGTCGACTGTCTCCTCCGAGGGGCGCAACACCCCCGTTTGGTGGGGGCGTTTTGGTGCGTAAAACCTTCTCGCCGTGTCACAATTACGCACGGAAATAACGGGATCTGCGTCACAGTTATTTCCGTTGGAACATGTATTACTGAGATGGAAACGCGCCTTACCTGCGTTGCCGGGGATTCCCCTGAGGATGCCCGCCAGGCTGGGCAGAGATCTGCGTCTCCTGCTCTGGTGCATCTTCAGCATGGATGCGTACTTGTTCTTTATATGCGCCGGAACGACCAGATTCTCCAGATCCCGCTTATGGATCTTTGGAACTTCGTCCAAGCCGAGTTTCTGCAGCAGCGCGTCCTTCATATCCTGGTGCGTAAAGGCGTTGGCGCAGCCGAGGAAGACGCCGCAGAGGACACAAGCGCGGAGGAAATCCATGAGTCCAAACGTCCGTGTGACAAACAGCAGCGCAGCAGCACGAGTCACCCGAGGACAGACAGTGTCCCCCTGACACTCCCGCGGCCTCTTATACCGTCGCGGCCCTCCCAGTCGTTCGCACTTAGTCAATGGGGGCAGGGGCCCTTATCAGAACAAAGGTGCGACAATACAGCCCCATCCTGAGCAGGATATCTAAGCGGCCATACTTCAAACAGACACAATTAGACTGGAGTGCCACAGTGGAGTCTAACTTCACCGCAACTCCACTATAAAAATCACCTCTTTGTAGTGTAAATAAATGAGGTCAATTGGATTCCTCTCCGTTGTAGGGAATCAGAAACTCGTATCAGCGTTTATTTTGGGCTCTTTATTTATTTCTACGCTTGCTCAACCGCGTCCTTACAAGCCGAATCCGCTACAGAGGTCCAATCATGGATGTGTGTGTGCTCTTCATTCACTGGCCCAAAGGAAAAGAGGAGAACGTGACACGCTAAAGTGTTATTGTCATTAAACAAGGACCAGCAACATGTACGTGACCACACAGAGGATTATTACGGTCCTCAGCCCGAAGGCCGCTGTGTGTCCGTGACATTTAGTCTGATCGGGACACTGTTTGTAATTTAGAAGCAGTTCAACAAATTGTCGTGTTTCTCCGTTGTCTCGGCGGCGCTCTGGTCTGAAGGGTGTTCGGTGGTCCACATGCGTCCCAGACAGACCTCTCCTGACCCCGTGAACCTGAAGGGCCCCTGTCTTCAGTAGAACCCTTGTCCACACACACACACCTCGCACTCGGACGTGTACATTCCACTGGACAATGTCAGTCTGGCAGCAGTCCGTCACACGGCGGCCTTATCTCTTTCTGGGTGGCCCCGGGGCAAGTTCTGTCTGGCAAAAAAAAGTTTGACTGAGGATCGGGGCAACAGAACAGAACCGGGAGGTTTCGCTTCTGGCCCCAGTTTACAACAAAGGGGACGAGGACGAAGTTGGCGCAGAGCTCTACGAACGGGAGGAGGGGGACCAGAGGATTAGATGTTTATTCCGAGCCCTGTCGCCCCTTTCTCGGCCCTCACCGGCAGATTAAAATTATTAGCCAAACAGACAGCTAATCCAGGGGGGGGGCGGGGGAGGGGGGGTGGTGGATGTGGATTGGGGCAGGCTCTTCACAGGTTGGTGATTATCTGATTCCATTGCGAGGATTTGCCTTTGGCTTTTTTGTCACACAAACATTAGAAGAGGGGTGCTCTCGCTGGCTGCCCAGAAGGCCCGGCCCGCCGTTGTGTATTGGGGGCCGTGTTTGCTCGGAGATGTCAGACAGACTGAAGGGGCGCGCACACACACACAGGAAGAGCAGATGACAGATGACTGCCAGACCTCCGCTCGCCGCAGCCGAGACAAATTATGATCTGCCGCGGAGCTGCGGCACGCGGACGGGGCCCACGGCAGGAGCCCGTCACAGCATGCAGCGCGCTTCACGCCAGCAGACGTGTGTGCAGAGGTAACCGCTGATGGCGCCGCCGTGCAACAGAGAGTTTCAATGTCGCTAGAGTCGGATAATCCTCGGCCTCATCCACGATGGACGTTTTTCAGAGCTATTTTAAGTCGATCGTCTAAATGCGTTTCCCCTGTCTTAAAACATAAGCAAAAAAATCCATCCTGTATCTTCTAGATGAATTATGCCACACTGTGAGATCTGTGATTTTCCTGTGAAGTCCTGACTCATGAGAAATGTCAATGCTTCCTCTCGTTGTTCTTTTTTTTTTGTTTTAAAGCTGTTATTTGATGGAGTGTAATCCCTTAGCTGAGGTCCAAACCGCTCCACCGGGCCGCCTGGCCTCACAATGGTTGGTGCAGACATGTGAATTCAGAGCGCACTCATTGTCCAGTCCAGCCAGCAGCCAAGTCGAAGTTCCTGTCCCCCCCACGGGAGCCCCCCCCCCCTGTCATTCTCCCCCCATCACATTACAACCCCTAATTTGGGAAATTAAGATGCCCTTTGTGTGATATTTCTCAGTCTTTCTTCCTTCCCATGCCAATCAAAGACTAGTTGCCCAGTTCAAAGCTCCATATGATGCTCCCAGGTGCCATTTCTTTTCAATCAAAGGCCAACAAGCTCCTACAATCAACAACTCAGGTGTTAATTAACATCCATGCATTTGCATTCAAAAGCGGTCCAATTTATAGCTCATTCCCTTCCATTTGTGAAACACGGCTCCCCTTTGCTCAGCGGGACCGCTGTTTGCAGACCCGGGGCCGCTTGAGACAAATATTACAGGCTGTCTTCAGACTGGATGTTTGGACATCAGACGCCCGCGTCTCGCGCGGCGTCTCCCGGGCAACGGGGCGGGGCTGCGCCAGAGTCAATATTGAACTTGTGTTGGTGGTCAGCGCAAATTCCCCCATTATTCACGTGGCTGCGTTGTTTCCGACTTCCTGATCCGCCGTCGCCCGCTTCATCCCAATATCAAATATTTGGGGACACGAGCCCCCGCTGCATTTTGCACCTTAATGCTCCCCGGACCCCCCCCCCCCCCTTTATATTTTGATTTTGGGTCTCCGCGCGCTGCAGATAGTCCAGAAACCGGCAGTTGGATCGTTCAATAATCCTCCCCGCTGAAGGGAGATCTGACGCTCGAGCACGGAGCACCCCAAACGAATTAGTTAATCACTTTTCGCGTGATGCGAGATCACCGGAGACAGGAGGGGTTAATCCCCGCGCAGACCCACCCAAATGGGATCAGACGTGATTAGATAGGACCAACAATTCATATTTCCATTAACGTGTAATTAATCGACACAGGCGAGACTGTTGGTGTGCAGGACACTCACCACTGTAACCGGATTCAAACACAATTGAATAAGTTTAAATAAGCTTCTGGAGGAGGATCAGTTAAATACCCGTATGCGCTCTAAGCTGAAATAAACAGTCTACTAATAGTAGAAATGCATCGACTTCCACAAGGTAAAACAGATGAGACCCCCCCCCCCCCCTCCGGCCCGCACGCGCCGGTGAGCGGCTGCACGGCGGCTGGCGGCCCGGCAGGGGGCGCTCTGCGAGCGGCCGCGAGGGGAACGTCCAGCTCAACAACTGTGTGCTTTGTGTAACTGAGTCAGTGAAGAAACGCGTTCACAAAATATAAATAACATTTCCGAGAAAGGAAACTTTATATTGTGGTCTATGTTTTTCTCTATTTTCATTTCTATTTTTAAACCCTCTGCCGGAATGTGGAAAAGACCAATGACTACAATAGTACGGTACATTTATGTGGATTTTGTCTGCCTGCTCTCAGTAAAGTGAGCACTGGTGTCTCCAGAGTGAATGTAAATCTATTTGAATGTCTTGCATAATGTACATTCTTACACTTAACGATAAATTGAATGAAAAATCCCATTTATTTATATCAAAATGAAACTAAATAACAACAGAGCAGGATCGTGTTCATTTTACAAAGAATCACTTTGTGAAACACGCACAAACACTTGTGTGTGTTTGTGCGTTTCTCCTGCAGAGAGAAGCCTCTTAAGTCGGCGTGCTGTGTGCAGCGCAGACACCCGGCTTCCACCCCCCATCCGGCTGCAGGCCGTTAGCCATTAATAGATGTACTTTGATTGGCGATAAGCCCTCACAAGGATGGGACGCCGGTCAGAGCGACACACTGGGGCTGATGGTTGACAGTGTCACTGTTTACTGCAGTGCTTCATAACGTCACTGGTAGTCTCTCAAAAGCGTCCGGCAGGATTCATCCTCGTGTACGAATCTGTGCATAGCAGAAGCGTGACGACCTGCAGGAACAAAGGGTCAGCAGAAAATAAAACCCCAGGCTACACGCGTGTGTTAATGTGTAAAGAGTTTGCTCTCGGTGTCTGCTCTGACCAATGAGCACGGCCCAAGGGGCAGAAGATCAGCTGTGCGGAGCCAGACTGGTGTGGATACCCGCGCACATGGCGGGCATGTGTTGTCTGGAGAATGTGTGAATGTGTCCCACTGCAACGGCCACCAGGACTCGTTGGTGATGCAGACCACACCGGTGCGTGGGTGCATTCAAAGGGACAGCAGTCGCTGTTGTCCCACTTCTGCAGAAGACATGTCCTCTCCGCCCGACGTCAGCAGCTGAGTGACAGACAGCCCGCAGTTTCCATTCACAACACTGACCCCCCCCCCCTCCGCACAGCAGATGCTACGCCGGGCGCCATGATGATGATCTGGGATTTTGCCTGCAGCAGCAACCAGAGATGCTACGAGGCTGAGAGATGCGCCGCCAGCCCTAAACCAACAGGGCGCGTCACCGATCGGCCCATCAAAGATGGCCGCTTGAGGATTCAGCACTCTGCGCGTGCGCGAAAGTCGTACGTTTACGTAAACGTGCGCTATTCTCCGTTAAAGCAGACGCGAGGTGGTTTCGCGACGCGAGGCTCTGCGGCTTGGAGCTTATGTGCCGAGTAAAGCAGCGCGCACGCGCTTTTAGGGGGGGTCAAAGTAAGCGTCGCGCGCCGAGCGTCCATTTGTAACTCATTCATAATTTATAGCAGGAACCTTCTTCCCACAATTCCTCGCGACGCAGCGGAGAGAGAGAGAGAGAGAGAGAGCGCTGTCTCCTCGGCTGTCTCTCCCCGCGGACAGTCTCTGCTGCCGCGAGCTGGTTCGGCGCAAAGACGGCGAGGAGGCGACGCGAGGGACGGCGGGGGGGAGAGAGGGGGAGAGAGAGAGAGAGAGCGAGAGAGTTCAGGCTGCGTCCCGCATTCGGAATAAGCGCGACCAGACTGCGGCTCCGCGCGTGACGTGGAACGAGCTCCGCGTTAACCTTCAGGCGGGAGGAGGCGCGCTCGTTCTCGCTGCGTTGGAACTCGCGAGCGGACGTCGTGCGGGGACCGGGAGAAGCTAAAAGGGGGACGTCGGGACGCTCGGGCGGAGGATGGGATTTAAAGGACGCGTCTGCCCGCGCTGACTTGTGACAACGACGGGGGAGATTCTGCGCTCGCCCGGAAAACGACCGACGCCGCCGACCGGGACGCTTCTCCGCCAAACGGCGCTGGCTTGTGCTGTTTGTCCTGCGGGAAAAGGCGGGCGGGATGGCTGGTGGGATCTGGGGGAAAGTAGCGCTAGCTAACGCTAGTTAGCTCGTCGGCTAGCTAGCTCGAGCTCGAGCCGAGCTGAGTCTGAGTCTATTCCTGGAGCAGAGGAGGGGCGCTCGGGCTTTGTAGCATTGCAGATCTGCTCTTCATTTTTTAGGGGGTGGGAGAGAGGGGGGGGGGTACTGCAAGAATGGAGAATCCCAAATATCCGCCACAACAACTCCGGCGGGTCCGTTGAGCCGCGTCGAAACGAGAAGAGCAGAAACCCGCGTCGGGATTTTCCTCTCGATCCTGCGACCGACGCGACGTGTTTTCCTGTTTGCAGAATGGGGAAGTTCTGCGCGTCCTAGTTGCTGGATCTGGGGAGACCATGAGCTGGCCCATGGCGACGCGCAATTAGCCCCCGGCGTGTCCTCAACATAAACTTTTACACCTGGAGACGTTGAAGGGGAGAGAACTTGAGCTACAGGCCGAGCAGGAGCTCCACCGCCGTCCTCCGCATCGCGTAGAAAACCCGCCGGAGGAAGCATGTCCGGGGAGGTGCGCTTGAAGAAGCTGGAGAAGCTGGTGCTGGACGGGCCGGCGCGCTCCAGCGGGCAGTGTCTCAGCGTGGAGACGCTGCTGGACGTCCTGGTCTGCCTCTACGACGAGTGCAACAACTCCCCCATCAGGAGGGAGAAGAACATCCTGGAGTTCCTGGAATGGGGTGAGCAAGCCTGCGTCCTTTCTTTCAGCCTCCCCGGCTCTTCTTTGGGCTGTAAGATGATCGGCTGGTGGTGGTGGTGGTGCTGGTGGTGGTGGTGGTGCAGCGGCCTCCACCCTCCATCACATTCCTTTTATAGTAGTAGTGGGGCTCCTCGGCCTGCTCGCTCCTCTCTGACTGAAACAGGGACACTTTGTCCTTCTGTCCTTGCAAACCAATCACACCAACAACACAAGTTGCACCAAATACACCGTAAACAGTAGACACGTCTCGTTACGTTACGTGTACTGCACGTCTCGTTACGTGCACTGCAGTGAGGAGGATCTAAGACACTCCGGTTCGATACGGATCCAGCAAAGATGTCATTAAGATGCCACTTGCTCTTATGACAACGGCCGCTCTCGTCGAGGAGACGTCTCCCGGTCAGCACTGGGCCCCGTCTGCTTTTTGTTGTTGTTTCTTTGCCTCCACGTAACATGCCAGATTGTTTCCATGTGTTATGCTCGTGTGTGTGTGTGTGTGTGTGTGTGTATAAAGGTTTGTAATGTCTTCGTCTCTTCGTTAGGCAATGATCGGTGTGTTTCCAGCACAGCAGCGTAGAGATCACGTACCCCGAATGTTTCCATGGGTTTAGTCACCTTTCCCCACTCCCCTGGTTAAGACAAAGTCAGGAAACACACACACACACACACACAAAAGCAGCTCAATCATTTGTGCAAAAGGACTATGCGTGTGTGTGACATTGGGGGTTTGGTCTCTGCATGAAGCAGGAATGTGAACAACTCACTTTTTTTTTTTTTTTAATCTGGTGCAGAGGCCCGGCTCGCTGCCGGCTCGCTGCCGGCTCGCTGCACGTCTCTCAAAGCGCTGAGAGTCGTGCTGTCCGAGGCCGTCCCGGAGCAAGTCATCGCCCCCCTGAAACCACACGCGCTCATGATGCTGAGTGCGTGCGGACACGGAAAGGAGCAGTTTGCTGCCATCTTGTATCCTGTGTTTATTCCTTCCTGAGCCCGCGTTGTAGAAAGGCAGTGGCAGACAAACCGAATCAGTTCCATGGTGTTTAAGTTTGGCTGTGGTTGCTGTTGGTTTACTCCACCATCTGGACAAACTATCGGAGCTAAAACCGGAGCTACGCCGGCTAGTTAAACACCGGAAGTGGCTGGAATTTGGTGAATTGTTGGTACTTCCTGCCTGAGAAACAGTTTGGCGATTCCACACCGTGTGCGTTCTTCATTGAGCTAAAGGGCAACGCAGCTGAAAGTAACTAGAGTTACTGGATCGTTGATCCGGTGGCGGATAGAAATCCTTTTGATCTTCTTTCAAATGTCTTGTACTTCAACACCAGTGTTTCCCCTCCCGTTGAACAAGGGGGGGCACGCCGCCACCCCCAAGAAAGTCTACCATTGTCCACTCCTCGCCGCCCGGCGTACAGACACGTGCACGCATACACGTGCGGACGGGGAGCCCCCGAGTACGCCCCCCCCCCCCCCCCCCACCAAGCAGGTGCACCACGATGCTTCACTCGTGTCCTTTTACCTGGATGCGCATATTCCTCTGTGCGACAAATGAAAGATGGCCGCCGTGGCGTGTCGTGGCTCCTGGTCGAGCAGCGAGACGTGAAGAGGTCCTCGGGTGTCTCTGCTGTCAGCGTCGCTCATTTCCATTTCTGTTGGCTGCCTTTGACTTTAAACCAGGTGCCAATCAAGCGTCGCGCGTATTTGCTGCATCGTTTGTTGAAACACATGTTAAGTTTTTGATTTTTGGGTGGAAAAGCATTATTAGCGGACAAAAATGAAAAAATAGTTTTTCTTCTGGGGAGTAAAATTACGGCTGTCAATGTAACTTCGGCAGCAACTTATTGTACAACGTATGGATTCTTTTTTTACTTCATCGATTTACTGTACGATAAATTGACACAACCGTGATCATTTCTACTTAACCGACTTCCATGTGAACAGAAACACGCTCCTTACTCCTCACCTCTCGCTGGTAACTGATTCCTCCCGTTGCCGTAAGTGGCAACCGCTGCTACAGCAAGGAGCCAAACAAAGAGATTTAAAAGTATTGTTGTTTTCGTATAGATGTTTATTGCTGTTGGTCAAGATCACTTTGAGGTCTTAGAATTCAGATTCTGCAAGAAGTATCCGATCAAAGTGAACAATTGCTCCGCTGCTTTAATGCAGCCGTTATTCTTCTGCGTTACTATGCAATATACGCCGGCCCAATAATAAAGACGTGTCTCAGCAGAAGCGTTTGAGTCCCGATGAAATCCGGCTGTTTTTAGCGTTGCGATACGTCGCTATTGTGTGGTGAAGCAATCGATAAACACTTTTTCCAGTATCTTGTAGATTAGTAGCTAAAGGTTAGCTGACGATATAATAATTACCCCCCCCTCCTCCCCGGGTTGGATCAGACGCGTAGCGTGAACGCGTACTTAAAACAGTTTAATCCTACACACAGAAAAACGGTTCAAGATGGCCTCGTGAAATCTAAGACCTCTTCCACTTGTGAGGGATTTGCCTTCGTCGGCTACAGAAGGGAAGAAGCCCACCTGTGTGCCGCCGCGCCTCCACCTTCCCCTTTCTTCTCCCACAGAATGTACATGAGCTGCAGAGGAAGACAAACATTTGTATTGGGTTTGTTTTCTCTTCTTGCGCGGTGACTTTATTTCAGCTGAACTAGAGACCTCGACATGACCTGCAGCCACAGGAGAAATGAACAAGGCACTCGGTACTCTGACCCCCCCACAGGTCACCGGCTCAGACCGCCACCAACACATCCTCCTTGTTTGTACCCTCATTGTCTTTGTAGCTATGATTGCTGCAAAAAGTTGCAAGCATTCAACGTTTAAATTGTGTTTGATATTCCGTAATCTCTCCCATAATTTCCTGCTTTTTGTTTTGTCCCGATCTCCGTCCCTGTTTTTGGAACCAGATTGCCGGACAGCTGAATGACATCGGTGGCCATGCCAACCCACATTTGGCAAACATGGGGGAGGACGCCTAACCTTTTCTCAGTTTTAGACTGCAGAGGCCAGCTGTTCAGCTGCAGCTGATGTGTGCTCCACCCTGCAAGGCTTTCATTGGCAGCATGCCACACACACACACACACACTTTTTTGTGGCTTTGCTAGTCTCATAGTTCACAGAGCAAGGTTATTCCTGCCATAAATAAAAGCACACCTCCAAGTGTTTGTGTCACGGCTTTAGATTCCGCTTAGAGGCCATTGCACCAGGAACCAGCCAGGCTGTATGCAAGGCTGGCAACGCTTGCAGCTGCAGAAATACAGTCATGTTGCTGAGTTATGTAGCGGGCGCCCGAGCAGGAGGTGTCCTCCGGTGCGTTTTTTCTCTTTTTCTTGTCAAGCAGCGGTGGATGATAAACACGGAAGCATAACAGTATTATACCGTTATTTTACCGTTCCTACCGTGATGTCCATCAACAGTTAATTACTGTAAAATATTGTACAGTACTGTGGAATGCATATTTACTGTATATTACTGTTGTAATTGAATGATTTTAAAAGTTACATTTCAAAATAAACCCCTTTAAATTCCTGACATGAAAAGGACTCAAACGAGAAATATCCTTTCAATAATATACTTTTATTAAAGTTAAAGCAGTGTCAAACTCTCCTAACAGTAATCACTTTTTAAAGAATTTTAAAGAAAAATTGGATTCATTACAACCAATGTAAACATATTCAACAACAAAACATTCAAAATACTTCAATGTACTGCTACTTTAAACGGTAGTGTGCTGTAAACAGACGTCTACTTTTGCTCTATTTAACAGTATCCAACTGTATTTAGGAATAACAGTATATTACTGTTGATAATTTCTCATAATTCTACGGTGATGTTACAGTGTAGGACCGTTTAGTCATCCCGTGCTAACCGAACGTCATAGTTTACAAACTCCAATGTGAGGCGTTTCGGGCAAATGTTTGCGTTAAAGGTGAGTCTTGGTCAGTGATATTAGGGTGAGACTTGACAATCCAGTTTGTGCTGGATTCTATCAGGACATCCTCGAGCTGTTCAGCCGTCCGGTGCTTGCGGCGGGGCCCAGAGAGCAGGAAGGAACCACGAGGACGCTCGCTGGTCCCAACGTGATGTCATACGAGGAAGCGGGACAGCCGTACAGCATTGTGTCCCTCCGTGCGCTCGCCGTCCCAACAGTCTGGTGTCGTCGGGAAGGTGCAAGGTCACCAGCTTGTTTACGTCCTCGGTGGTGGTCTGCCCAGAGCATGAAACCAACGGAAGATCACCCAGAAGCCTGGACGGCTTTTTAGGATTCTCGAGCGACCGTTCACTCTTCCTCAGATGCCGCGTCTCAGGTTTATAATGCAGGCTGCTGTTAACCGCGTCAAGCATCTACAGGTCAGATGATTGAGGACCACCGTGGTTTATTTTTCTCTCACTTTGAGCTGTGTAGGACGGGCTGAGAAGTCCTCCACGTGAAGAATACACCTCCATGTGAGAAGTCAGTACCTCCGCTAACGGCACGCTTTCCCCCACCATGCAAAAGGCCATTTTGGAGTAAAATAAGTATTGGAATAAATGGTCACGTTAAAACGGCCGCCAAGCTTTCGTGTGAGGTTCCCCATTAGTTGCCCCCCCATATATGTCTCATATGGGACCAATACTGCCTCGGTTAAATGATGTGTTTGTATGATAAATACATTCGTAAATACGTTCATATGAATTCTGTACGTCGAACGGATGACGTCCACGTTTGGAGCAGAGAAATGCCCACGGCCAGTTGTGCCGTGTCATCACAAAGTGCCAGGGGAGGCCTCCGCTTCCTCTCCGTCCCCCAGAGGACATCAGCCGGCCTCCCAGGACCCTGTCCCCCCTCCACCTGGTCCCCCCCCTGCAGTGTCCCTCAGCCGTGGTCCATGTGACCTCTCAGTCAGACCAAAATGAACCTGCTCCGTTGGCTTTGCTTTTCTACTTGTAACGCGTTGCACCACTGGTGAGCGTGTCGCTGCGCACAGTGAAATAA